ATTGCAGCATTTCAAAATGGATATGTTCTTGCAATTTAAGGCAGAATTCTGTATTGATATGATCTTGACCCCTAAGAAAAGAAATGTCAAGGTCAATACTTAAGACAATTATCTGATGTACATGTATGTTCTATACATTAGTTTTGCCCCATATCTTACTTACAGCATCATGAAATGCACAAAAGTAGCTTTCCATGAATGAACAATAATAAACTTATACAACCGAAAAATTGAAATTTTTGTTGTTGCTTAGCAACCACTTAGAGGTCATTGAACACATATTTGAACATAAGTGATATATGGATGTAGTTCAGCATGAAGCCTTCTAAAGAGTTTATTCAGAACTGTCTATTTCAGCATTCATTGTTGTAAAATTTTAGCTGGAATATTGAAAAGTGTTTAAAAAACTTGGAAAATTCTGCACTTATTTGACCTTTGACCTCCTAAAAATAAGCCTGCTGAGGTCAAACTTTAAGACAAATATTTACTGTACATCCCTCTTAATATTATGACCCCATATCTGACTTTATAAGGTAATGGAATGCATAATCTGATTTGGATGAGCAAAAAACAAGAAATACTCCCCGAAAAATACAAAATACCCGTTGCTTAGCAACCTCTTTAAAACCTTTATTTTGCAGAATTGAAAAATAAGTTTTATGTGATTAATTTAGTTCAGTATAATGCCCTTTTGTGAGTATATTTTAAATTTCCTATTTCAACATACATCATTGTAAATTTTTAGTTTAAAGATTAAAAAGTGTCCAAAAATTCAATAAAATTCTGCACTTATTTGAACTTTGACCTCTATTTCCAGTAGTAAGGTCAGTCGTGAGGTATCTGAATAGCTATGAAATATCATCTCTGGAAAATTCCCTACCAAATGGTATGCATTATGCCTAGCTTTCCCTTTTGGATAAAAAAGTTAAAAATTAATTTATAATGATATGTCAAAAGGTCTCCAAAGTCTCTTAAAATGCACCGGTAGAGAAAGGGTTAATCCTACTTAATCCTACTGATATTCATGCAATCCCAAGTTGAATGGATTCAACTTTCTTTAAGTTTTGGACTCCGTTGATATGGTGAGACTAAATTTAGGATAAAATTAATATATAATGTATATAAGAAGGAAAAGAAATTTGTTTTAAAAATTCAAAAAGAAAGACAGAATGGATACAATGATATCAAGGACCTCATGTGTAGCAGATACAAGTTTGGTTACTTGTTTAGGTCCCGACCACACTATATGGAAATTGTTAATTATAATTTATAGGAAAACTTTGTTTTTATGATCAGCAAAAATATAGTGAATTAAGTAAGCATTGTGTCTCATGGACCTCTTCAAGTAAATTAAATTATCAGTAAACATACAAATTGAGATTTTCTGCAATTATTAAAATGATTTTCTTTGTATATTTTCAAAGGAATTCGGAATTTTGAATTAGATTATTGAACATAATGCAAGCCTTTAAAATAAGTATGAAAATTGAATGTCTGTTTTATCTAAATACATCGTATATTTATCTATTTGATAGGAAATACACGTCATTCAGTAGTAACTATATCAAAATACTTTGTAAAGTTAAAAAGTATAATGTAAATTGATACAGTTATTCTAACAGATTTTTTTTAATTTCAAGCACAATTAATATATATATATATATAATATTTAAATAAAGAAGCACCTGAAAACATTTAGGAAATGAAAAGTATGCTGCATATGTTTTTCAAATACTCTCAAAACAATTACAGATTTGTGTTTGGTTAATGATTTTTTCTAATCCGAAACTAGAAAATAGTATTTTATATAAAAAAAAAATTATGATTGTCTAAAATAACATTTTTTATGTGTTTTAGAAAGTATTCTTCCTCCTACATATGCACTGTTGGGATTGTCTGAGAAGCTGGTGAATTTCATACTTGCCTGGTGTCAGCTGAGAAAGGTAAAGGACCCTATTGGATGGGCTGACGACTTTCCTAATGAGAGGATAAAACAATTCTGCTCTGCAAGCACAATGTGTTCATTAGCTCAGGCAGGTAAGTCCTGTTTGTTTTATTGCGACATTTTGCACGCTTGAAATGTAAACTTACTCTATTAATAACTAAATCTTGCCGAGGGGATTCAATGTAAGGTACTATCTTATCATTAGATTTCGTGGCGGCTCAATTTTCGTGAAATTCTTGGTAACCTCCTTTCCATGAATTATCATTCTCCACAAATTAATAAAGAATTGTTACAAATTCATATCTCGTCCTTTTGTAGGTATAAAATGATATACGAAATTACCTCCCCGTGAAGCTGTACGCAACCTACGAATATCTCCTACCTCAAATTTAATTGATTCCACGGTAGCCTATTTTGTATAAATTTCTATGAAGGTTGAAACACGACCTATTGCGTTTGGTCAAGTTGAAGTTCTCATGAAACATTTATTTTACAAGTAAAATTCAAATTTACCCCTAGTACATTATATATACAATAGAACGCGCTTTAATAATCCATGAAACAAAACGTTCGCAAAAATTTTTTGTTCATCACTTAGAACGCGATTCTTGTGTTAAATTTGAAAATAATTAGTGTACGTCATGTAATCCACAAAGTCAGAGATTTTGGATGCGTTTTAAATCGGTTAAACCAAACTAAAGCTGGCATTATAAAAACGACTCCAATCTTTGAATTGATTTTTTTTTATCGAAGTGAACATTTTCGGTTGGGTGATCTTCTACAGATATTAGCGACTATGGATGAAGGTATGGGAACTATGTTATGCTAATATAACAAAAAGAAGGAAAATGGATATAATCTAATCAAACAAATTATTTACTAGATACATTAGATTTGCAAAATTATTTTGTTAAAAAACATTCTGATTGTACACACAAGTACTCTGAAGTTGATATTAAAAAGATGCTTGAGTTTCTGAATTACAATGTCTATGTGGTTTTGGAGACCAAATCTTCTAACAATCTTTTGGAATTCCCATGGGTGCCAATTGCGCCCTGTTATTAGCAGACCTGTTTTTGTATTCATATGAAGCAAAATTCGTTCAAAATCTTATACGTGAAAAGAAGAAAACACTTGCTGTGCCCTTCAACTCGACTTTAAATATATCGACGACGTATTGTCAATAAACAATGGTTATTCCAGTTCTTATTTCAATACGATATATCCAGGTGAGCTTGAAATAAAAGATATCACAGAATCTGACACATTTGTTTCACTTTGGATATTTTACTAGAAAAAGACGTTAATGGTAATCTATCAACCAAACAGTATGATAAACGTGATGACTTAAACTTTTCAATCGTCAGCTTCCCTTACTTATACCTTTATCACCTGCATACGGAGTTTATATCTCTCGGTTGATTCGATACGCTAAAGTATGCTCTACGTATGAAGAATTTCTAAACATTAAGACTTTATTTAAAAAATAAAACTTATGATTTATGGTTTATTCTATAGATAGAATAGATGATGGTAACTAAATATTTTAAAATTCATTGATTTACATAAAGCTGTTTGAATCTTATGGCGCTAGTCCACGAACTTTTTGATAACCCCTGGTATATATGTTTTGATTTTTATGCATTCACCTTTATTTCACTGCATATAATATATTGATTGTTTGTTTGTTGTTATACGTCCCTCTCGAGAATTGTTCACTCATATGAAGACGCCACAACTTGTCGGTGGAGAGCTACAAATTTTGACCTATACTCGGCACTTAGGGCTATTGAGCAGTGAGAGATCGTTTCCGTGCCAGCACCTACTGCGACACGGGACCTCGGTTTGTACAGTTTAATCCGAAGGATTGGTCTCTACGTCCCACAGTGGGATTCGAACCCGCGACGTAAGGATGAATTCATTACTCCGCGACTCTAGAGCAGAGCTCTTACCACTGCGCCACGCAGGCGACTATATTTTATTGAAGTCTTAACACTAATTGAAGAGTGTGCGACTAAAAATCACATCTTCATACGTCAGGGAGAGAAATAAACTTAGTTTCAATGTCACTGTTAATTGGCCTTTTGCTAAAAAAAATATATAGTTAACTATATCATATACCTAGTTGTGTTTCAGCCCTGATACAGGCGTTTCGGACTAGGTGAGACAGCCTCTTGGAACTAGGGCTGTCTCGCCCTCAGGGCTGAGATATCTCTGCCGTTGTCAAGGGGCTGTCTCGCCCTCAAATTTCAATCCATTTTTTTCCGTTTAATTTGTGTGAATTAAAATTAAAATTTATATTAAAGTGTTAAAGATAAATATTTTGTATACTAAAACTAGTCCTGAATCTTTAAGAATTATTTATTTATGCTAGAGTATTGAGAAAATTGTTTTTAAAAAGTCCGCCAAATGATGGTAATTGTGACGTAAGAGAGGTAACTCTTGTTTACTGATGAGAGTTGTATGTTTTGAACAGAAATGGACGTTAATTTGCTTTGACTGTAAGACAATATCAAGTTTTCTCTTTTTGTGTCATTATTTATTTTAATATATATCGTAAGCAAAACAAACAGTTACTTTAAATATTAGACCTGTAACGATTTGTTGGACATGTAACCCGCAAAGTGAAAGTAGAGTTATCAAAAATTTGGGACTTTTAAATCTTAGCAATTAAATGTGCCCTTGATTGTAACATGTTTTAAAACGCCAAGACACATCTATTAAATGACCAAATCAGGCAAATCCTCACTTTACATGATTAATTACATATGTCAAGCAACATCTTTACCTATCTTAAAGTGTCTGGGAAGTAGATGATAAAGTGGTATTATATATTTTGTTTAAGTATTAAAATATCTAGAAAAGCAAGTTTTTCCAACAAAGTCGATTTTATAAAGGAGATATTGCCAAAAAACTGAAAATTTTAAAAATATACACCTTTACGATACCGAAAACGAGGCTATTCCTAGCTAAAACGGAAGTGACGTCACAACACATCAGTTTGCGCCATTTTTAGAAAGTCTTCTATTGACCTGTGCGTGTTTTCCGGCGAATAATGGCCAGCAAAAGTGTCGGACGCATGTGTGTTGTAGCGGGATGCAGCAAAAGACAGTCAGATGGCGTGTCGGTTCATGTTTTCCCCAAAGATGAGCGTCTGCGAGCGGCCTGGTGTCGTTTTGTGAAGCTGACGAGGGCAGACTGGTCTGGTCCTTCGAAATACACCGTTATCTGCAGTGACCATTTCAACGAGGATTGCTATGAGGTACATTTCTCGCTCATGAAGGACTTTGGGATCCCAGCGAAGAAGCGTCCACGCCAGGGGTCCATACCAAGCATATATCCCAAGCGGAAAAGAGACCAACTGAACGATGCGTTCCTGGAGTCTCCCCATGTAACATATATGGCAAGAAATTAGCCCTGACTTTCAAGTATGTTCATTTGTAACCAGTAACAAGGGTTACAAACACCTGTAACTGAGTAGCATTTCCTCAGTTATTTAATGGTTACAATGGTTGCAATGGTTACAGTGGTTAAAAATGGGGACTTTATGGTACAATTTTCACTTTTTGCTGGTTACAATGGTTACAGTGGTTACAGCAGTTACACTGTGGTTAAAAATAAGATTTTATGGTACACAATTTTCACTGTGTGGTTACAATGAGTTCTTTAACCTGATATCAGCTTTATGAATGAAATGTGATTGGAACCTTTTCGAAATAGTATAAAATATTTTAAGTCTCTAATTAGATTTATCAATTAAATCTAATTATAAATTTTTAGTGAAACTTTTAAATAAGAAAAGATATTAAAGGGTAATAATTGTTGATACTTCTTTGAGTACCTGTGTCTCAAACTCTCATCTACATTTTGTGTGTATACCTCAAGTTTGTGAGGTTAGTCCAGTCATGGAGAAGGTATTACAGGTAACAAAATCCAGGCATCCAATCAAATGCCTTAACCACCTGCAGTATTCGCAGCCACTCTGAGAAAGCAATCAGATACCAATACTGTGTCAGAAATTGCAGCTGTTTTGTGAACTGTTCTTGATTTTGGAATGAGATTTACCTCAAGATGGGTAAGTTTGTTTTTCAGTATTTTTTCTTAACTTTTAAGATATGGAGATTATCATGTATTATTACATTCTTCTTAGATTTTCATATCAATTGATGCAGTTGTAAATAGTTTATAGTAAAGAGGGATAAATGAATAAACATTTTTTTTATTTATGGGTTGGGAATTTCAGTTAAAATCAGACTGTTCAAACTTGTTAAAAATTAATAATCGCATAATTTTAAGACCCAAAAACCAAGAAGAATTCATTTGTTTGGACGTATGATCATTTTCAGTTAAAAACAAGCCACTTAAACTTTGTTAAACTTATGTTTGAATAATTTTAAGACTCCTAAACAATTATGAATTCTTTATCCACCATTTGTTTGGATGTATGGTGATTTCAGGTATAAACTTGTTAAACTCATATATACCAAAAGCTATTATGAATTCTTTATAGCCATCTTTTCTTCTGATGTCTGTTGATTTCAGGTAAAAACAGGCCAATTTAACATGTTTAAGTTGCCAAACTATAATACTTGTACTAATTGCATACTAATTAAGACCCCAAAACAATTATGAATTCCTTATGTATGTTAATTTACCATATCACTAAAAAGTTATGGATTTATATATTTACCAATTGTTTTAAACTGAATTCCTACTTACACCCCCCCCCCTTCTGAAGGATAGGTTATCCTGAAAAGCTAAAAAGAAAGTGCAGTAAACAAACAACCTAAACAAAAAAAAAACCCAGAACAAAATACAAACTAGATGTAACAATTAAGAAACACATTTATACAGTTTATTTAAAAAGAAAAAAGAAACATTCCACTCCTTACATGTAAATTGTAATAAGCATGTACTTTTAAACTCTGATAGTGAACTACTAGCTGTTTCAATGAAGAATTAAGATTTCTGTTCCTGGAAATTAACATTTGTTACAAGCATAAGTGTATAGACATTGTTATGTGATTATTAATTGAACAAGTCAATTGTAGAACAGTTATCATTAATAAAGTTCTACTTGTTGTATGTGATAATCATAACCTTATTAAATATTCATTTTATCTAGGGTGTTGTATATAGAAATATATATTTAATATATTCATTATTTCAATTATGGATTAAAGGCATATGAAAGTTTCCAGTGAAGCTGTACCATGTGTACATGGGTGTGCTGACTTCGTTTGACACAAAAAGTCAAGTCCTAAACAAAGTCAGCATAATATATCCATAAGATTTTTAGTGATGAATATAAAAAAATATTTTTTCAAACATATGTTCATGATAATCTTCAAGGATAAGTCCTCATGTATCTGCCTTTGAAATAAAGGGAAATGGTTCCATTATTTTGGTTTTATAATGATAAATATATCACTTAGTTCCCCAAATGTTAAGAAATAAAATTCTCGGTTATGTTTGAAGCTTATACTGTACTATTGGCTCTGAACTCTTTTTTATCCCTGCACTTCTGACAAATCTTGAATAGAAATTAAAAACTTAACCTGACTGATTTTTTTTATTTCAGTTTGTAGCTCAAATACATCAAAGAATTTGTAAGATCATTGTATATTAGGGAAATTATCAGATCAATAGGTGTGCCAATTGCATCTTGAATCCTGTGTGTATATGTAACACAATCAACAATCTCTTTGAACTTGGAATTAACCTGCGACTATAGTTATTTACCTTGTGTATATTTGGAAACTTCAAAGGATTTTCCTACGTGTATAGTATACTGATATATTTGCAAAATATCTAAGGTATTGTTTACCTGTAAAAGGTGTGAAAAATATGGAATTTTTTTTAATAATTGTTTATATCTCTTGTCCTTTGATTTGTAGGATAGCTGTATATTCAGGAATTCTAGCTATCACTGCTGACTGCAAGCATTAGTATTAATTTGATCACTGTTTCTACAAATTAAGTTAATATTCTCAATCTTTTTGAACTATCTTTTTTTTTTTGGTGGCACACCCAGGTAAAATGTGCCATTAATTTATCTCTCATATTAAAAAGCACTATATTTACTTGACATTTACTTGTAATTGATGTTTAAAATGAGACATTAGTTAGTTAGTTAGTTAGTTAATTGGTATATCATGGATAAAGTGAACCCTAAGCTTTTTATTTTAAAGAGAAAATAAATAATCTGTTCTTGCTTATCTGGAAAAAAATATATATATTCTGCCCTGTGAAGAACTGAAAATATTCTGACCTTCCAAAAAAGTCAAAATCAAATGGTTGTCCCCTGCATCAGCTAGGCCCTTCTCATGAAGAATGAGGCCACATGGGGGTTTTAATAGGGATTCAGCTGGTATGGACTGAGTATGTACTGTATTTAGTTTCATAGATCCTTCCAATGATACCTGATATGACTAATTCAGACTAAATAAGTCAATTATGACAAATTTACATTTTTAAACATTTCCTATCCATTGTTGTCTTTCCATTATGAATTGAAATGTGCATTATATGCATTACATGCATTTTAACTCATCAAAACTAGCAAATATAAGATCTAGAAAGAAAGGAAGAAATTAACCCTTTGCTTCCTGACATGTTTTAAGTGAGTGGTTATCTCAGTACTGAGTTGTTTTGGAATATTGACAAAATTGTCACATTGGGGTACTTGAATGCAGATATCTTAAAATTTGGACAACCAATTTGCATAAAATTTGGCAAATATGAAGGAAATATTGTGCTTTTTGAAATGTTAAAGTTTTTTTTAAAAATTCTTATATTTGACGTTTCCATGGTAACAAAATTTTCAAAAATATACAAAAAGAATGATTCTTGAGTTTTTTTAACTACAATGTGCAGAAGAAAATGTTGCTTTGATAAAAAATAAATCATTTGCTTCAAAAATTGAATTTGAAATACAATATTATATTTATATAAAAATCAGTCAATAATTCAATAAGCCAATGTCATAAATATGTTGTGGAAAGCCACTGTATATATACTTATCTGAATAAGGAATAAGTTTTTGTGAATACTGAAAATAACTGAATTACACATAATACAGTGTTTTCAGTTTATAACCAAAAAGATCATAAGTATAAAATCTAGTCTGCCTGTAAATCCAAATCCAGTTATTTTTTTTTCCGCAGTATTGGCAACCATATAAGAAAATTTGATCCCCAGTTAAGGAATACGCAGTCTTCAGGGTCAGGAAATCTTGGTTCAAATTTGGTACACCGATAATGAAATAGTATCTTATAGCCCCAATTATACTCTATAATTCTTATATCTGTAAAAATTTCTTATTTTGCTTTTATAGAGGAGAAAGCATTTCTCCAATATTGCTTGTATAATTAACATTCATCAACTCTTTCTCCCCATACTTAATACTCTCTTAGGCTTTAAGAAAATTGGCATTTATTTTGAAAGTTTTATTCCTAGCTGGCAACAATGATTGCAAACAGAAATTTCTAACACAACATCTAGAATTTATGTTGAAGATATTTAAGGACCTTTAACAGTCATTTACAATATCTCTTCAACTTTATAAATATGCCGAAATTACTTTGTTGTGGTCACTGATTAATGGCCCCTGATTAATATCAGTTTTGATACATTTCAATTGTTTTCAGTACATTAATGCACAATCATTAAGTAATATTTTATCACAATAATAAGCAAGAAATGAATTTGCTCTTTTTTTCTTTTTTTTATTTTGACCTGTCCTTGAAGAGCTATATTTCCCTTTGTCTTGATTCAATCAGAAATGAATTTAAAAATATATATCTATTTGTTTTTAAAAAATTCTACTTAAATATTATTCCTATATAATGATGAAATACATTTTTTCACCAGGGCATTTGTAATCTTAGTAACTATTAAATTTTTATATTTGAAAATTAGCTTATCTTTGGAGACCTCATTGCAATCTTTGTTGATCAATAACTATCAGGTATTTCTATTTTTGAAAATCTTTCTCTTGGTATTAAAAATATTCTTTAGGTAAATCCTAGCCTTTTTACTCTAAAATGCTTAAGATGAACACGGCAGAGTATTCTTTATGAGACTGATATTTAGTGAAAGAGAATCATGGATGGAATACCTTAAAACAGGGATGTTGTAGAGACATGCATGAATGAATGGGCAAGGGAGTCAGATCCTCCGAAAATGTAGTACAGTGTCAGTGAGGGATGGAATGTAATTATTAAAGGATCTTGGGCCTTATATACTTGTAAACTACAGGACATATGATGTATTGATAGGTGAAAATAAACTTTGAGTTTGAGAAGTACAATTCCACCTATGATCCAGGCTTTGTAGTGTTTTAATAATGTACTTGCAACCCAACTATTCACAAAATCCTCATTTCTAAAGACTCTGCATGATCTCCTTCCTATT